GCATGCACAGAACTAGTACCGGGAGCAACACTCCTCTGTTGAGCCGACCTCCCAGATAGAATGGCGTCGGCCATAAATGCAGGTCTGTGCGTCGTTAGAGGTGCCCCACTTCCTCCGGCTTCGGTGGCCACCCCCTTGCCCTTCTTAAGCCTCCTCTGTTTTCTTTCTAGCGATTCCTCGCCATTGGAAGACTCGTCCACGGGTTGCAGGACCGGTGCCAACAATGTCGACTCCCCTATAACCATGGTCGCAGACGTAGCCCCCTATAAAGGAGCTGGAGGGAGACCCTCTCGGACAGACTCGATTAATATATCATGAGCATCCGAGGCAACGTCGGATCGCTTGAGAGTAGGGACTGGCGCCCTATTCCTAGAAGCACCTCGACCTGTTGCCATAAAAAAGAGTAAGCAGGGTTGCAAAATTTACAAGATAAAAATTAGAAATCTACCTGAAGGGACTTTGGGGCCATAGCGTTGCATGAAGGCAGGACACGTACGGGTCTCTTCCGCATGAGGAAGCAAGCTGGTAACCCATCTCCTGAGATCGGGGACGGGCTGGGGCGGACGAGCCATGGCTGCAATACAAAAGTTAGAATTGCAACAGTAACAAGTAACAAGGAACTTAACAAACTGCAATACTTGCGTTTCGAATTCCACCTCTCTGGGAATCCGGTAGGGTTAAAGACTACATGCTCGGTCCTAATGAAGAAATATTTACGCCAGAATCCGCGACTCGCACGGTCGTCAGTTTTGACCACCAACCCTTTCGTACCACGGCTTCTTAAATGCACCATGGTCCCTCTCAGATAACCAGCACTGAACAATTGTAAGAGGTGATGAATCGTGACCTCACATCTGACCAACTCTGCATACTTGGTCAGTAGCCAAAGCACCTTCAGGGTATACGGCGTAAATTGAGCCGGACACACGTTATAGAATCGGCAAAGCTCCTCCGCTAAAGGAAAAAGAGGAAGGTTATAACCAATCAAAAAGGGGTATTCATAAAAGGCACAGTACCCTGGCCTGTGAACATCTACGTGATCTCTCCCCGCTGGAACCATCTCTATGTGGGCAAGTATGCAGTACTTCATACGGAGATCGTCTAAGTGATTTTGCAGTGACTCGGAAAGCACTAGAGTCGGAGTGGGAGAGTCCTTGCTGAAATCGCTTCGAGACGAAGGATGTTTTGGCAGTAGCGCTTCCACCGTAAGAGGACTGATGTCCTCTTCTTCCTCCACCTCTCCACCATCGGAAGGCGGCGGCACGTTCGATGGAGCAGCCGCCGGGATCCTCTCGTCGTTTCGGCGAGATTTAGGCATGATTTCGGTCGAGAAAGAGTTGCACACAGCGCAACGAAGAAGAAGGAAATTTTCGATCGAAGGAATTAGTACCAGAATGCGAAAATATACACTGAAGGGTTGGAATACTCTTACAAATGGCCAAAGTTCGAATCAGGTTAAATCTTTCCCCTATTTATAGGGTTGGGTGGCGCCAGAATCGAAAAGGCAGACTTCGAGTCAGCGCGGGAAACCAAGCGCCAAAAGCATCTGGTTTCCTGCCTCGAGAATACGCGCAATGATGACACATGCGAATGCTGACGTCATACAGAGAAAGGCGTTTCGTTTCGACGCTCTGACAGTTATGATTACTGTCTCCTACCTGTCACGTCACAATCCTTTGACAAAGTCAAACTCTCCCTGAACAGAGGCATCGATTCCGCCCATCAAGGACGCATCTCGCTGAGACCCCGACGAGCGGAGGGACTAACTGTATGGGGTCGAATTTGACTGATAGCGTCCCTAAGTCAGCACGACCAACCGCTGAACATATGTGAGCTCCGACAGAAGGACGACTTAGGAGTAACGGGAGAAACGACTTCATAACCTCGTCGGCCCCTCTATAGAATGTACTTTGGTTTTACCTTTTAATATTTAAATAAGGATCCCCTGCTATATAAAGGGGATCCGAGCTTTGTAAAAGAGGATTCATTCATTTGGGATATAAATTTTTCTCTTGCTCTCTCATCTCTCTAAGATTATGTCTTTTCCTCTCTCTCATATACAATATTGTTGCAAGAACCGATTATCAAGATCATCCTAGGGTTTATTATTTTCGATTACGATTTGCCCCTTCATTTCTTTTTGATTGATTTGCTTAAAAAGTGTTTAATAACTTTTGAGTCAAACAATGTTTACAGTTTTAAGATCATACAACTCACAAGCATCAATTGGATGCCAAAAAAACATATAGGAATAACCGAATAATTCCTTTTCTGTCATTTTGGATATTGGTGGTATTTGGAATAGATACAATTTGCAACAATTTTCAATAGCAGAAGTGTTGATATAGATCCCTCCCTCTACTCAATTTTTTTTCTATAATAAGAAAAAGGCGTTTAATAAGTCTAATTAGCAATTTGTACATTGTAGATGAATTATTGTTGCCAGTACGTCCCTTCATTTTCTAATTTGCAAATGTGAATAGAAATGTAAGTAGTTTGTATGACGAATTCTATCCCAAAATAGGCTGTCTCTACTTGAAGGTGATAATTTGATCCGTCCCCTAAAAAAGTTTACATTGCATGGGAAACTTTTATTGACTATTTTAAACACCCCATGACAGCGAAGGGACGGCACTTACATTGTAACACATACTAATAAGTTACAACTAATCAAGAAAAATTTACAGGCAATGTAACAAAATACAAAGGTCAAAATGTAATTTTGTAAATTGGTCATATAAAATATTAATAAAAGAGTGTTAGAATCCAGAAAAAGAATTGGATTGTACGATAGTTGGTGTGTTTAGAAAGTAGATTTTGCCAGAGATTTTGCCAGAGATTTTGCCAACAACACGTGCTAACTCAATTACTAACACGTGCCAGAGCGTCTCCACATTGGACTTGAGTTTCTCTTGTCGGTTCATCTCTCAACCTATTTTTCCCCTTAATTTTCGTGAGCATCTTGAATAGTACTAAGGGACAAGATAGAAAAGAAAGATTCTAAAAGGATTCCTTACGATTGAAACTGTGGATTAATGTATAGTGAAATCGTAATCACATGTGAACAGGAAACTAGTATCTCCAACTATATGACCCCGTCATAGCCAATTAAGGATAAAAATTACACGGGCGTCCTATTTGGTCGTCCCCATTTTACCTACCAATTTTTTAAAAAGTTTTAATTTGTACCCACTGTTTTAAACAACTTCAGGCCTCTTTCTCCTCCTCCTTCTCCTCCTTCGTTTTCTGAATGTTGAAGCTTGAGATATTGTTATGCGTTCCAGCCTGATGATTCATATATATCTACTTGTCCCATTATGTTCAGTTTGGTCTTATTCACAATAATTTAACCTCTTAGATATTTTAGCTTTACAGGCACATTTGTTTTGGTTCTAATTTATCTGTAGTAACTTGTTTTCATGTCGATAATATTTTTCATTCTTTAATCTTTGAAATGAATAGCATCAATGCTAATCATGATTTATTAAATTCATTGTTGTTTAGAACTTCAGGTCTAAGAATGCTGAAGTTCAGCAAATATAAAACAAACTTCAGCCCTAGAATGCTGAAGTTCATCACAAACAGAACAAAGTTTAAGCTAAAACATGCTGAAGTTCAACAAATACAGAACAAAGCTTCAGCTAAAACATACTGAAGTTTAGCAAATACAGAACAAAGCTTCAGCTACTAGAATGCAAAAGTTCAGCTGAAGTTCAGCAATTACAAACAAAAACTTCAGCCAAAACATGCCATAGTTAATTTGAATTGAAGTTTGCCATTTGCACTATGAACTGAAGTTTGCGTGATTGCCTTTGCAAGTCAGGCCAAACTTCATGCAAAAATATCTGAAGTTTTGCTACACTTCAGGCAAAACATTCTGAAGTTCAAACTTCAGACATAAATTTTTGCTACTTTAGGCCCGTATGTCTGAAGTTACGCGAAAAGTGGGTACGCTTGCAATTTTTTTTGCAAAGCGGGTATAAGTTAAAAAGTGACCCGAAAAGCGAATATAGATGCAAATCCCTAACGACGTTTATGTTGAGATGAGTTCAAAATTTAAAGTCTATAAGTTTTTATACCAATCTCAAGTTAGTAATTGAGTTCACAATTAAATATTTATAGATATTTAATTAAATTTTTAATATGTATACAAAGACCGAAGAAAAACTATTAGGTTTCCAAAATCTGAATGTAGAGTCTCTAGATCCGCCCATGAAATTATGTATCATTTTTTATAACAATGTCAGAATTCTCTTTATTTTTATTTTTGTTGAAATTTGGACATTAGTCTCATGATTTTCATCTCATTATGTTGACTACTCGGTTACATTCTTAGTTGATAATCTTGTTGCCAAAAAAAAGAAAAAAAGAGAGGAGAAGGTGTTAAATTCCACCATTGTTGAGTGGAAGAAGCTCACTGAAGGAATCGAAGAAGAAGAAGAGGCGGTGGAGGAAAAATCGGTTGTAACTAACTTTCTGAAAAAATAAAGTCAAAAATTACATACACCCCTATACACACATATATAGACTTTCACTACTACAATTATCACTAACTTCTACAACTAATTCCTAACAAACTAATACAACTGTACAAGAGCTATTAATCACGTGTTAATTTCAACACCCCCCTTCAAACTAGGTGTGGTGAAAATGTTCAAAACACCTAGCGTGAACATTAAATGATAGTGTTGAGCAGTTCCTAGTCCTTTAGTGAGCAAATATGCTTCCTGTTCTTCTGTTGGCACATATGTTGGATGTATCAATCCTTGTTGCACATTTTCCCTTACGAAATGACAATCTATTTCTATATGTTTCGTTCTTTCATGAAACACTGGGTTATTGGCTATCTGCATAGCTGCTTTGTTGTTTGTGTGAAGTTGAATTGGAGTCAAAATCTTTATTCCCAATTTTCTAAACATTCCTACCAACCAGATCAACTCAGACACAGTCAAGGCCATGCTTCTATACTCAGATTCTACTGAACTCCTTGCCACTGTGGTCTACTTCTTAGATTTCCAAGATATCAGTGATCCATCAAACTTCACAAGGTATCCAATGACTGACTTTCTAGAGTTAGGACAACTTGCCCAGTCTGCATCACGATATGCACTAAGAGTCATGTCCCCAATTGCACTCATAAGAATTCCAAGCCCATGCTCATTCTTCACATACCTTACTACTCTGTATGCTGCTTCCAGATGAGACTGCTTGGGAGCTTGCATGAATTGACTCGGAGTTTGCACACTATAGACAATGTCAGGTCTTGTCATGGTTAAGTATAAAAGCTTTCCAATCAACCTCTGATAGCCTCTCACATCTGCCAGTGTTGGATCATGATCCAAGTGACAATGTTCATCATACTCAACAGTTGTAAGTCTTTTGTTTTGCTCCATTGGTGTAATGGCAGGCTTAGCACCAGACAATCCCAGTTCTGCTATAAGTTCTAGAGCATATTTCCTTTGACATAGAAGAATTCCCTTTGCAGACCTGCACACTTCATTGCCTAGAAAATATATCAAGTTTCCTAGGTCTTTGATCTTGAAAGCCTTGTGTAGTGTGACCTTTGCCTCTTGAATCATCGCAGTGTCATTGCCTGTGATGAGAAGATCATCAACATATACAAGTAGAATAACCTGCTTTCCATTCTCTTCTTTGATGAACAGGGAATGATCATGTTTGCTTTTCATAAAGCCTGCTGCTAATAGAGCCTCTGTGAGCTTCAAGTTCCATTACCTTGATGCTTGCTTAAGTCCATATAGTGATTTAAGCAACCTGCAGCCCTTAGAATTCCCCCCTTGGCTGCTAAAACCAGGTGGTAACTGCATGTAAACTTCTTCTTCAAGATCACCTTGAAGAAATGCATTGTAGACATCCATTTGAAAAGGTGGCCATTGATGCATAGCAGTCAATGCAATGACAGCTCTCACTATGACCATTTGAACAACTAGAGAAAAGGCCTCTTGATAGTCCAGACCTTCTTGTTGGCTGTATCCCTTGGCAACAAGTCTTGCTTTGAATCTCTCAACTTCTCCATTAAACCTGTACTTAATTTTTTACACCCATCTGCACCCAATAGGTACCTTACCTTTAGGAATATTAACTATCGCCCAAGTGTTGTTCAGAACCAAGGCATCCACTTCTGCCTTCATGACTTCAACCCATCTTGGGTCCTTCATGGCTTCTGTGTATGATGTAGGTTCTATCTCCTGTGAGGTAGCAGTCAAGTAAGATTAAGTAGCTAACAAGGCACTATAGTTTAGATAGTTGGATATTGGATATGTGCAGGTGGATGAGGATACCCCATTGAGTGGACAGACATAGTCTTTCATCCAAATAGGTGGTTTGGAACCTCTATTGGATCTTCTGAGTTGTGTAGCTTGAACTTCCTCAGTGACTTCATTAACTGGTATCTGCACATTATGATCAACTTCAACATCTGGTACATGTTCAATATGATCTGGATCAACTCCTATGAAGTTGTTCCCTTGCTGCATCAATCCATGATCATGCTCAATATCTTGGTTGGCTGCATCATGTCCTTCTCCTGACACATGTGGTTGTTGTTGATGCACGGAGTGGCCTTCTTCTCTTTGTTTCAGCTCCAAGAACATAGGATCTTGTTGTGTATCATCCTTTCCCAGTTGAAAAGGAAAAATATCTTCCTTAAAAATGACATCTCTTCTGACAAAGAACTTTCTTCTCCTTAATTCATATAACTTGTATCCTTTCTGAGACACTGAATATCCCAAGTGAACAGCAGTGATGGCTCTAGGAGAAAATTTGTCCACCTTTTCTGTCACTGTAGCAAAACACAAACATCCAATAGTTCTTAGGTGAGCCATATTAGGTGATCTCTTATGGAAAACCTCATATGGAGACTTCCCTACTAGAATTGAAGAAGGCAGTCGATTGATAAGGTATGCTGCAGCTAGTACACAATCTCCCCAGAATTGCAAAGGAATGTTGCCTTGAAATCTCAAAGCCCTTGCCACCTCCAGGACATGTCTATGCCTTCTTTCCACTACTTCATTCTGCTGTGGAGTGTATGGACAGCTGCATTGATGCAAAATACCATTATCTGTTCAATAGTCTTTGCATTCATGACTAAAGAACTCTGCACCATAGTCAGTTCTTAATACTTTGACATTCCTGCCAACCTGTGTATATACCATTTTAAGAGAGGATTTTAGCACAACAATAGTATCACTTTTTAATTTCATTAGGAAGATCCAAATCATCTTAGAATGATCATAAACAAGAGTAAAAAAATATCTATTTTCATTATATGTAGGCACTCTATATGGACCCCAAATGTCTACATGGATCAAATGAAAGATGTCTTCAGCTCTGTTGCTACTTAAAGGAAGTAGTTTCCTTGTCTGCCTAGCTAAAGGACATACAATACAATTATTGAGCTCACAATCAGAAAACTTCTTATTCTTAAGGAAATCTAACTGCTTCATGACTTTAACTGGCACATGCCCAAGTCTTCTATGCCAGGTAGTGTAGTCTGCTTGCTCCCCCTCTACAAGACAACTGCTGATCCTTTGTGCCATTTTGTTCTTGTTAGACCCTTTTGGGATCAGTAGATAAAGGCCACCCTTTTCCTTTCCAATCCCCTTCACTCTCCTAGTGTATAGGTCCTGAAACATACAAAATGTTGGGAAGAAATTAACTGAGCATTGCAGCTCTTTAGTTAATTTTGACACAGACAACAGGTTGTATTTAAAGTCAGGCACACATAACACATCATATATTACATCATGATCTGTAAGCTTGTAACCTCCTTTATAGATGACAGGCACAGTCTTACCATTTGGTAGGTTCACATTACCTCTCTTTGAGTCAGTTAATCCAGTCATTGTTTTCAACATTTCACTATTAGATGCCATATGGTCAGTTGCACCAGTATCTACAATCCAAAAGTCAGCTAGGTTCTCTAGAGATTGTGAATTAGCATTACCTGCCATATTTGCTGCATGTTCTTCTGATTTATCCTTGTTTATCATCTTCATGATCTAGTTGTATTGCTCATCAGTAAAGAAGTTGAGCATTCCTTGATTCATCCCTACATTGTCCTCATTTGCAGCAGCACTTTTACCAGAACTGTTATCACTCACAACCATGTTAGCTTGCCTATACTGGTGTGATCTCTTCCCTTTGAAACTAGATGGATATCCAACCAATTTATAACAGGTTTCCCTTATGTGTCCCTTGTTTCGACAATACTCACAGTCCAAATTACTGAACCTCTTAAACTTTGATTAATTATCTCTAGAACTCATTAGAGCTGTGGAGTCATTCACTTCATTTGTCACATTAATATGCGAATTAGTCTCAAACACTCTTCTTTGATTTTCTTCATTTATTAACATTGCATAGGCACGACTGACAGAAGGTGATGGAGATTGAAGTAAAATCTGGCTTCTGATTGCATTATTAGACTCATTTAGGCCCATTAAAAATTGAAAATGTTTCTGCTGCTCCAAGTGTTCGACAAAATCCCTAGTTCTAGCCGTAACAGAGAGGGAAAGAATCATGGAATTATATTCATCCCAAAGTGACTTCAATCTAGAATGATATACTGAAATGCTAGATGTACCTTGAGAGATGGTAGCTATCTCCCGTTGAAGGTAGTAGATCTTGATCCATTAACTTTATCAAAACGATCCTGCAAATCCAGCCAAACTTCATGAGCATCACTAGCATGTACAATTCTATTTACCAGATCTGGTGAAACCGTGTTCATAATCCATGTCAGAACAGTAGCATTTACTCGCTCCCATTCTTCCTCCAAATCAACTGTAAATTGAGCTTTTGTACAGCTCCCATCGATGAACCCTAGCTTGCGTTTTGCTCGCAATGCAATCACCATCGCCTTGTTCCAGACTGAACAGTTCTCAGTTCCTTTGAGCTATATCGATAGGATGACATTTCCAGGATTATCAGAAGGTTGCAAATACAGAGGATGACGAGGATTGTCGGTGTCCAGAATCGCCATGGCCGATTCTCAAAAAATAGCTTCAAAAATTGTACTGATGATTTCAGAAGTTGAATTAGCTGATTAATCCCTAGCTTTGATCGATCTACTCGAGCTCTGATACCATGTTAAATTCCACCATTGTTGAGTGGAAGAAGCTCACTTAAGGAATCGAAGAAGAAGAAGAGGCAGCGGAGGGAAAATCGGTTGTAACTAACTTTCTGAAAAAATGAAGCCAAAAATTACATACACCCCTATACACATATATATAGACTTTCACTACTACAACTATTTCTAACTTCTATAACTAATTGCTAACAAACTAATACAACTGTACAAGAGCTATTAATCACGTGTTAATTTCAACAGAAAGAGTTGGCAAAGTATCCAAAACAAAGATAATACAGTAGTAAAAATCCACCAAACTGAAAAATCATGTGCCAAAGTTTTATAATACTATGCAAGATGTATCCACGTACACCATCCGCCAGATAAGAATTTAACCCTTTGCTGAAGATGAATTTCATTCTTAGAGAAATGGTGCACTCGAAAACTAATTATATTAAACCAAGAAGGAAAGGACCAAATGGTTCCCCTAAAAGTAGTGTTCTTCGCCTTCTCGAGGTAGCCGCTCAAGAGCATAGAAAATAAGAGCATATTGGTTGAGTTTGGACCATATTAATAATTGAACTACGGTGTAAGAGAAATTATACTTGCGGGCTTCCATTGTTTTAATGGCCAAAACAGATTTCTTCAAACTTGCATAGGGATAATGAGCTAGGAATTAACTTTTCCCAAACAACCAATACAAGAATTGCAGTCTCTATAAGTAAAATATGCTCCAAATCAAGGTAATCTATTCTAAGCTAAATATAATCCCTCGAAGTACTTCGTTCACATAAACCTGAAACGAAGAAAGCTCGAGAAAAAACATGAAGCAGTCACTATAATGGGGCAAGATATGACCGCGATTAAGAGAAAAGTATCCTTAAAAAGACTAAAGAAACGAAAAATGACTACTTATAACAAAGCATAGCTACTAGGAATTGATCAGTAAAGTTGTATGGGTCAAAATCAAATCAGAGAAATTCGACATGCGAAGACAATTGTCATGAGTAACCTGCAAATCGAATTGAGATGTCTGGCCGAGGTCGAGCAGTGATCAATAAGGTCGAGGTCGAGCAGTGATCATCAACAAGGCCGAGGTCGAGCAGTGATCAACAACAAGGCCGAGGTCGAGCAGTACAGATAGAAGTAACGGCTAGTTTTGCTTTGGAATCTTCAAATATAGGGAATATTCTACTGAATATTCCCTCTAATTGTACTGTTTAGGGCTCCTTGGGATATCCCATATAAAGAGTATGATAAAAGACTGGAACGGGGGACTTCTGGAAAAGCAGATTCTCTCTCTCTCTCTAGAAAAAATACAAACACATCTCTCTAAAGAGATTAGATTATCTGTTATCCCACACTCTCCATCAGAGGTCCTAAGATTCTTGTATTTGTCTATCATTCATCTTTATCAAATGAAAGAGGATCCGCCTCACTCAAGATTGAGTAAATCTCGTCCTTTATTTATATTTTATTGTCATTTAATATTATTTAATGCAAAGTCTTTTTTTCATACTATTAGATCCGGTCATATTACTGCCAACATTTATACTCAACTATATTTTTTCTATTCATGTTATCCATCTCAGATCTAGA